CGAATATTTAACACTAAAAACAGTTTCCAAATATTTGAAAGAAATTATTTATATCCTCCAATTCTAGAAAGTGAATATCTATATTTATAAAATTTAAAACAGCCTGCAAACATAAGCGTTCAACAATAAAACGTATTTTTGTAGATAAATTAGATTAAGTTTAACAACATTGATCAGATTAATGCTATAAGGGCACACATTGTCATCTTTGCATGGAGGGTCATTGGAAATCTGTAGTTTATTGTAGAACTTTTTTACATTTTATGTCGTCGTTATTTAATAATCTAAATAAATAATTTTAAAAACTTATCCACCCTCAAAGTAGGTGTTTTGAATGTCGAATTTGCGCTCAAACTTAGGATTTACAGATCTTTGAAAAGTTTAATATGTCTCAAATGAAACCGAAAGAAGTTTTCCACAACACTGCATACTCAACTATCTTACATAGCCGGTCACTCCCTTTAAGGATTCGCGCTATATCATACATACATTTAATCTCTCGTTCAAATAGATTATAGTACAATAGACGGCAACGTAGAATTTGTACACACTTGGAGCTGAATTCTCACGTCACAAGTGTCAACTTAGTTTTTGTGTCAAATAAAATTATTTTTAATAGTGATAATTTTAGAATAAAGTGCTTATCTTACAGTAAAATAAGTGAAATTTTATGTGTTCTTTATTTTCTTTTTTACACGTTTTTACGAAATCCAACATTTAAAAAAATGTTCTGTTTTCGTTTTTACCGTTATTTTTTTTTCAAAAAGGGCTAATCCGTTCCATTTTAAGAATTAACGGTTTTTTGGCGTTCGTTAACGGACACTTCCGTTAATTTTCGAAAACCTCCGTTCCATTAACAGAACTTCGCCCAGCCCTACTAGCTTCCCATTCTGCATTTTTCTGGTTATCACTGTAGATAGTTTATGTTTAAATAGGCGAAACTTTCCTTTAAGGAGCCCCGGGATACAGACAGGAGGAGACAATAAATGATATCAGTGATTGGACTTTTAATCCTTCAGCGCTTATACCTAACCTAGCGAATATTAGGTAAACTTCAAACTTTAAGAACATGTTAGGTACTTCCATTAAGTGGCAACTTCCCAAGGGTATTTTCCCAAGTGGCAGCTTCTCAAAAGTGCAATTTGCCATGCGGCAACTTCCAAAGTCTGTCTTCGGCGCAGCATGTTCTTGGCGTGGCGTTCGGCCCCCTAGCCCATCATAGCCATAATGCTCGGCCCTCACTGCAGCCTGCAGCGCCTCAGAGGGCCTAATCTAACCTTTGGGAAGTTGCCGTTTGGAAAATTCCACATTTGGAAGTTGCCACATGGGAAGTCTCCATGGAAAAAATGCCTTTGGGAAAGTTCCTAACACCATTCTTGATCTTAGGATGAGCTAAATTATGTTTAACAGTTATCAGATCATATTTTGTCTATTTGAGGTTGGCACTCTTGTATTGTGGATACCGAGATCAATGCTTTATCTCAATCTTTTGATAATCTGCAGATTAATTTAATCTTTATTCGATATCCCACTTGGTAATCATTCCTTGTATGGAATGAATAACTTAAATAAAGAGATAAAATTAAAGGTTCCCACATTCAATATTGAGATTAATCCTTTTGGATTAAAAGTATTCAATACAAAAGTTCCCAGCTCAGATTATATTTAGTCTTCCGCATTATGTTCATTTTACAGAATACTATTAATTATGTTTAGTATACCGGATTATGTTTAGTATTATGTTTAGTATACCGGATTATGTTTAGTATACCGGATTATATTTAATATACTGGATTATGTTTAGTTTACCGGATCATGTTTAGTATACCGAATTTTGTTTAATATACTGGATTATGTTTAGTTTACCGGATTATGTTTAGTATACCGGAGAGTGGATTTCAGCTACCTGACCTGGTCGGATTGACCAACCAGCTGAACCTGACCTTGGGCAGCGTAGCACTCGGCGCACTACCTGCTGCTGCCGGAGGTATCAATCAGGAGGTTGATAGTTATCTACCTGCCCTACCACTTACCAGCCATAATTAACTCCTTAATGAACAAACAATATGAGACGCTAAAGATGGCCCAAAACTCTTGTATTCAAGGATGTGCCATAAAATATAGTTTTTTTAAGTTATTCACTATTCACAGCAGGTTATTTCAACTTTTATCGAGACAATCTATAAGTCTTCAAATGATAACAACTCCTTACCAAAGTGCAGGTTATAAACGTTGAAATTAAAAAAAATCTATCGAGGGCTTTACGAGAAATTCGATTTTCATTTTTTTCTTCAATTCTCCCAAAAATGCGAAATTTTCGCAAAATAACAATTGCGAAAATTTCGCTTCGTCTCATCAAAATTCTCTTCGTCAACCATTTATTAAAATAAAGGAAGAGAAATTATTAATTATGATATTATAAAACTTCTAATGTTGAGCTCTTAGAGCAGAGAATTCAAAAAGTTTTTCTGTGCAATTAATTGTTGCATTAACAACACTTATGGTTTTCGCGGATTACTTTTGTTCGCGAAAATTGTTTTCGCGAAATTTCGCTTAATTCTTTTTTTTCACGAGAGTTTTCTTACGCTTGAAACCTTAATTACTAGGTCGTCAATAAAGTTTTATTTTTTGAGTTTAAAAAAGTATTTTTCCCTTCATATTTTCTTATCTATCAATTTTGACCATATTTTAAAATACATGGAAATAACAAATTCAATTTTTGAGTTTCTTAAATTGCACTTGGATTCTGTTCTTACATTTTATTCTTTATTTTAGTTGCATTCATGATTAGTCAGATAGCGCCCCTTGCCTTTGGTAAGCATTTAAATACAATAATCATACTAATAATGATAATAATGATCATAGTGCTAATAATCATGATAATAATAATAATAAAAATAGTAATGAATATTAAAATAACAATAATTATTTTGATAATAATGATAATGATAATTATAATAATAATGATAATCATATCGATAAAATTTTAAGTATTTGACAATTCAAGGTTGTATAAAAAGAACATAAGGCCTAATATAAAAGTCTAGACGTTTAATTCTAAATAAATTTGGCATCTTTAATTCTTGGCAATTCATCCCTGCAATTTAAATATAAACTATCTTTATCCTTTACACCTCGCGTTGAGTTAAAATTACAATAATAACATTTTTCAGCATAATTTACTTAAATTTTAATTTTTTCATTTTATAAAACAATCCGGTACTTTGGGGTAACAAGAGTGATCCAGGGTGGATATTCATCCATATAAAGTCTTATCCTTTTGCACATACACACGATCAAAATATGAATTTTACAAAACTCAAACATTAAAAAAACTTTATTTACTCGCGAAGTTTTTTGTTCTGAACCCTGAAGGAGATCTATTTTATAAAGAAAAATACCCATATGATTTCACATTTCTTAAAAACATAATTTCATAATTTGTATTATCTGTTTAGAATAATCTGTTCTCTTTGCCTGGATTATCAGATATTGAAAGGAAACTTTTATATTTGTCTTTATCATTCACTACCTTGAAATTTAAAACCTAAAAGAATGGTGGTTTAGGTTTACAGCTAAAAATAAGCGCTTTTTTATCGCTACTAACCTTACTTCTATCTGTTGCGTATATATAAACTATATAAGAATGCGTCGAAAAATAATCGATGGCTGTTGTTTGTAATATCTGAATGATTTGTTTGGAATTAAATTGAGCTGTTCACTATCCGTGTTGGATGTTGCAACTCTCTGAATTTGTGTGGACGCTACGTTCTTAGGTATGAGTCGTTCTTAACAATTTTCTCATCAGATAGAAGTAAGATTAGTAGCGATCAAAAGCGCTTATTTTCGCCGTAAGCCTATACCCCCTTTCATTTTTCAATAACACTCCCTTGAGAACCCGTGGCATTGCCCAAGAAACTCTATAATTACTCTCGCCGTTTATCCGTGCTTTGTCGGATAATCCTACTGATAATACAGATAATACATATAATACAGATAATACAGATAATACAGAAAATACAGATAATATTGATAATACTACAGATAATACAGATAATACAGATAATACAAATAATACAGATAATACAGATAATACAGATAATACAAATGATACTACAGATAATAACCAGATAATACAGATAATACAGATAATACAGATAATACAGATAATACTACTGTGATAACCAGATAATACAGATAATAGAGATAATAATACAGATAATACAGATGATACTAGAGTGATAACCAGATAATACAGATAATACGGATAATACTACAGTAATAACTAGATAATACAGATAATATAGATAATAATATAGTGATAACAAGATAATACGGGTAATACAGATTGCAGATAATACAGATAATACGGATAATAATTCAGTGCAATAACCAGATAATACAGATAATAGGGATAATACTACAGTGATAACCAGATAATACAGATAATACAGATAATAATACAGATAATAGATAATACAGATAATAATACAGATAATACAGATAATAATACAGATAATAACCAGATAATACAGATAATAACCAGATAATACAGATAATACAGATAATATAGATAATAATACAGATAATACAGATAATAATACAGATAATAACCAGATAATACAGATAATATTGATAATAATACAGATAATAACCAGATAATACAGATAATACGAAAATACTACAGTGATAACCAGAAAATTCTGGAATAGGAAGTCGACTTTTAAGCTCAAATTGCAACTTTAAATAGTACTATGAGCATGGGAATGTGGCAATTGTGCAGACCCATTTCACTTAATAAGTGATAAAATAACATAATAACAAAACTATTTGCTTTGTAACACCATCAAATGCATTTCAGTATTGCTTTAATGTCGTTTTCCTTTTCTATTTTTGGTTATCCCTGTATTAACGACTAAGAGTGGGTAAATTGTTTTTTGCTGCAATATTTTTTTAATAATACGCAACGACGTCTTGAGGGCTGTTGGCGTTGGCTGAATTCCAATATTTCTCACCCCTACTAAACGCTCCTGTTTACAAATTTATATTTAGTCTTCCGATTCTGCCATTTACAAACTACTGGTTCAGTGTGTCGTCATTTCAACTTTTCGTAATTCCTAATGTTTCATTCAAAATAAAGCTTCCTTGAAGTCGAGAGAACTCTTTGAAACGTCCGAGGATGAAAAAGAAAGCACCAATGGGAGTGTAAGTTTATTTTAAGACAATTTTTATTAAAGAGATAATAATGACAATGATGATAAAGATGATAATGATGATAATGATGATAATGATGAAAATGATTATAATGATGATAATGACGATAGATAATGATTAAAATGATAATAATGATGATAATGATGATAATGATGATAATGATGATTATGATGATAATGATAATAATGATGATAATGATGATAATGATGATAATGATGATAATGATTGATGATAATGATGATAATGATGATAAGGATGATAATGATGATAAGGATGATAATGATGATAATGATGATAATGATGATAATGATAATAATGATGATAATGATGATAATGATGATAATGACAAGGTTTGAAAGACTGGAGCAGAACGTTCAGGATTTTGTTTCTGATCCCCTTGGACAAATTACCAAAGATCTAGGATTGTCGCAGGTAGGACTAAAGTATGAATAAAACCTCTTAAATATTAAATTTACACAATTTGTCGTTTTCTTTATATTTAATTATAATTGTAAAATTATGCTTTTAAAGTGAAAATTTAAAGAAATTACTGATAGCACGGTCAGGATAAAATAATTTAGAAAAATCTGCGAAAAAAAACAATAATACTTAATTAAGAAAATGGTTGTTAAAGGGATTGAATTATTATTGCCAAAGAGAATATAATATATATTAGAGTGGAATTTACTAGAAAAAAGTGTAAAACGGCCATTTTGTTGTACTGTTTCCATACTGCATGTGTACTTCACATATTTGTGATATACAACTTTTTGGGCCCTGAAACATCATTTTATAGAAAATCTAAAATTAATATTAAAAGAAAACCAAATTATGAAATAGGCTGGTTTCATAATTGACCAATGATCATTTCACATAGACTCTATGCCTTTCACTTTACAAACGATGATTTTCCGTTATAACTATAAATCAAATGATGTTTTTTATTCACCTAATTCATTTTATAAAGTTAATTTAACAGCTTTAAAAAATTCGAAATTGAAATGGGTAGTCTAGAGAACATACTGTATTAATGTACTCTACTGCATATAATTTGTGAACATTTACATGATTTGTACACTTTGAACTCCCTTTCAGACTGAAAGGGACTGAAAAAATTCATACCGAGGGATTTTCTACATTCCACTCTAATATGTGTTATATTCTCTTTGATTATTGCATGATCGAGGTTGAATAAGATTATGTAGATGAGCAATGAGCATGTTTTAGTTTCTCCTAACTATTTTTTCCATTTTCAGTTTCTCTGCAAAGTGACTTACTCGCATTTCTTGCTTATAATAAACAAATATCAGAATTGAACAGTTTTTAAGTTAGAAAAACAACTGTATCTTCCACATTTTTGATCAGATTAGGGTGTTAGTACCGTTGTAATTCGAGTAATGCTATCTTTGCATAAAGGGGATTAATTGTCATTACGCTTACATAAATGATATAAGAGAGAGGGACTCAGAGCGTCTGAAAAATCGAAGAAATTAAAGAATAATTGTTGAATGGTTTAGGGTTGGGGTCTGGACAGGTTAATGAGAAGAATGACAGGGGACAGAAGATCTAGAAGACGTGAAGATGGGTTTAGAGGAGTCAACCAATACAGGACTGATCTGGTAAATTCTAAATTAAAGGGACTGATCTGGTAAATTCTAAATTAAAGGGACTGATCTGGTAAATTCTAAATTAAAGGGACTGATCTGGTAAATTCTAAATTAAAGGGACTGATCTGGTAAATTCTAAATTAAAGGGACTGATCTGGTAAATTCTAAATTAAAGGGACTGATCTGGTAAATTCTAAATTAAAGGGACTGATCTGGTAAATTCTAAATTAAAGGGACTGATNTAGACCACTAACTTTAATTTTTAGGGTGTAAGGGAGGATTTTCAATAAGTTCAAAAAGTATGTCAAAATTTTTTTCAAAATAGTTATTTTTACTTTCGACAAATATTAACATATGACACATGTTATTAAATCCATTTTTCAAGGTCTTCTTAAAAAATTAAGTCTTTGCCCTGTAGCTTAATTAATAAAAAAGTTCAAAACTTTGATGTTGAAAAAGTGAAGAATTTGTATAGTTCTAAATAAGCCATTCGTAAGTTATTAAGAAGAAACCGCAATCGTGATAGGGTTAATAAATATTGGATCGATATTCCTTTACTAACTTTTTAACTTTATAATAATGTTTGCTCGGGCTTTTTTTTGAGGATTTCAATGATTTGCGGAAAATATTTCTTGATAAAATTGTGTCTATAGTGGGAAGGCGGCAGTGAGGTTAAGAATGAGTTGCTCAAGGCTCCTTACAATGGTTACCAAGCAAGACCCGTAGGACTTGGAGGACAGGCATACCATGAAGGACAGGAAGGACAAGGAGGACAGGCAGGACTGCCCTATCAGACTTGGGACTACGACCGAGAGGACTACAGCACAGATCAGATGTATGAAAAGTCCAATTATGTTGAAAATGATCCTTCAAGATATCAAACAACATTCATGGACAACAACAGAGAGATAAAGAATCAAAAATACTTAAAGAAATAAAGGTTTTTAAAACCGTCAGAAGATTCACCAGGAACCGGATTCAATTGTTAGAAGTTGAACTATTTAGTTGTAGTTAAACCACTTATTCTGTGCGCCGGTTCAAGTTAAAGAGAAGGATCGTTAAACTTATTCTACTTAGTTTAACTTCTTCTTTCTTCTTGCATTGATTAAAAACAAACACAGTCTCTGGGGAGGGGAGGAAATCCAGCCACATTAATTTCTAGTCCGAGCCACATTGTTCTCATTTTCTCGTTCGAGCCACCTCGAAATCCTCGTCCTTCCATTATTACTTTTATGTGTATAATCCTCCAAGATAAAACTATTTTTTAAGAATGGGCCACGTTAGGGCATAAATGAAATTTTGAAGTTTTGTAAATCTAAAAAATAGTTTCAATTGCATTAAAGATTTCGAGTTCAATGTCCTTAAAAATGTTCACCTTTCTACGCGCATTTTCAGATATTCCTGGAGTAAAATGCCGCAAAGATTTTTTATTTTAGAACTTAAATTAGAACTTTAATTAAAGTGAAAACAATATAATTTTTCCGGGGGTTCCATGGAGAAAGTGATAGGCAGAGATATGCAAAATATTTTGCTATTTATTTTATATTGCGAAGGTTAGCCATTACGGAGTCAGAAGAGATTTAAGTTTTACCTAAGTAAAGTTTGACATCATTCCCATGGGTTTGAAGATTCCAACATGATGAGGTGGCTCGGCTAAGAAAATTGAGGAAAATGTGGCTCGGACGAGAAATTGTTGTGGCTGGCCTTCTTCCCCTCCTCTGGGAGTAGAACAAAAACAAAATTTTTTACAAAAATGTCCATGTTTTTTAAACAAAGATATAGGGTTTCCTGGTGTTTCATCCTTGCAACGAAAGGGCATTCAATATTTGCATTATTTAGTACAAAGATTTGCCTAGTCTAGTCATTGATAAAGGATTTGAGTCTTTGCCACGAATTCAATTTTTTTAATCCCTATATCTTTGCAACCTGATGATATACACCATTGATATTTCAAACTAAAATTATTTGATCTAACAGCATTCATAGTTTGAAATTTCAAAGGTCTACAAAATTGGGTTGCAGCGATATTGAAATTAGAAAATCAGAGTTTGTGGCAAAAGCTCAATTCCTTTAGAAACTCTTAAAACAAAAATCAAAGAAAATGTTACCTGTCCTTAAATAAACTATATTATTTTTTTATAAACTATTTTGTTATTTTATAATTTTTAATATTATTTTTATTATTGTTAAGCACTTATTAAAATTATTATCACTTATTTATTAATTTTTATCGCTCTGATCGATTTTATCTTATAAAGTGATAACTGTGGACAAATTGTGGACTTTGCACATTCTTTAATTTATTAAAAATACATATTTTTTCTACAATATGAAGACGACAGTTAGACTCAAGTTATTGTTTTAAATGATACAAAGGCCGAATATAAAGAATTATGAGCCGCGGCTCAAATATGGTTCGTTACACTAAAAATTGTATTCAATTTTTCAGGATTTAAGTCGGCGCTCAATTGAAATTGGTTTTTGGTGGATTTGAGACGCGGCTAAAATTCATTGAATTCGGACTCAGGGAACATTAAATAAATCCATTGTGCAATGTACACATGGACGAACTTTATTTGTTTTTAAACTATAATGGCAACATCAATTACACTTAAAATGTCTGAAGTATCGTTTTCAGTTCAATAGCTTTATGCATGCAGGTCTAAATGTGCATTCAATATACATAAATCAATATCCAAATAAGAGAGAAGACGAAATTTTTTCCACAGTTGTTTGGTTATCTCAGTATGTTTATTAGTATTGTTCGATATTTATTTTTGTTTTAATTTAATAAACTATATTTTCTATAAATTTTCTGTTAAAAACAGCAGAGCGATACAGATATAGATGGGCTTCTTTGGGCTTTTTTTATTTCTTTTTTTTCAATTTTTCAACAAAAAAAATTTGTTAGTTCTTAAAATTATCGTTAATTTTTCATTTATTTTGTTCGTTTTCTCACTGAAAAATCGTTCAGTAAAATCTTTCGTTCGATAAAATTGATAAGGTAAAAAAACTATATTTTTTTTCAAAAGCTTGTTAAAAAATTGAACATTCAGTAAAAAATTATTTTTTTTGGAAAATTTGTTCGTTTCGTAATAAACGATAGTTTTTTTTCAAGATTGGTCGAATTATTTTAAACAGTTCGTCTCTTTTTTTGATCGTTTTATAAAGCAATCTTCTTCGTTTAAAGCGATCGTTTTCAAAAATGTTTTTTGTTCACAAAAACAATGCACATCTCTAGTTACAGAGAGTCTCAATAATTATGGGAATTGAGAGACGATTTAGAATTAAAAGTATAATGCATCTATAAATATAAAGTTGTGATCTCGGTTTGGGTGTCTGTCTGTTTGTTTGTCCGATCATAACTCATGAACCCCTGGACCGATTTGCCTCACATTTTGAATGTTCTTAGTTTGGTTTTGAGATTCTTAGCTAAGTAGGTAGACTTTAATAGCGAAAACTTAGTTTCCCGGTAAAAACGTTCAATTGCGGGTAAACGACAGGAGTAACTTTTAGTAACCTTGGCAGCGCTGGGCTCCAAAGCTAGTTATTTATAAAACATATAGATCTCCGTCAGCAAGAGTTTTATTTATATAAACGGTATATAAGTATGTTTGTGTATAATCTATACTGAAAGTGGCTGAAATATTTGAGGAAACCCATTTTTTTAATTCACGGGCCCGGCGCACTTTAGCTATAGAAGGACCATTGTACTTTGTATTTATACAGGAATTTAGTCATTTCACTGAGATTAGTTATGGTTATTAATCTTTTAATAAACGAACAAAAAAAACAATCGTTATTCGTTTCGGTTTATATTGTTCAAAGCAAAAAAAACGAAAGGTTGAAACTACCGAACTGTTAGTTTTGAACTTTATTGACCCGAAAAACGAACTCGCGACGATATATTAAATTTTAGACGATCTCTTCGTTATTCGGTGTTTTTCTACGTCGTTAACGAAACAATCTGACAATTTTCATTCCATTCCTAAATATAAAAGTAAGTAATCATGAACATACAAATTCATAAATCTAGCGCAACATTCCAATATTTACATACGAACAGGTTTCCAAATAGACTGGATCCATTTACAGGGGGTCCCACATCATATTAGATCGTTAAAAGCTTTAAATTAAGATATTGGACCAAAAAGAAAAAGTTCAAAAGAGTTAATCATTTGCATATTAAATCAAAAATTATTTATGAAGACGAGTTCAAAATCTTTACTCACTTATTATGCTGATTAGGACACCCTGTTTATTTGCCATAATTATAGACCACCCTGTGATAACGTTTGGTTTATTGTGTATTCTAGCTATTTACATACAGGGTTACCCACAAAGGATGATACTGTGAAGACGACCCAAAACTCTAAAAAAATGTTTATTTATTTTTAGTTTCTGCATTCAATTAAGTATTTTGATGGTTTACTCAATTATTTAGCACAGAAATAACCCAGTTTTGGTCTACAAGGAACCCTGAATGCAAGAAAACGGACTAAAAGGAACCCTGAATGAAAGAAAACGGTCTACAAGGAACCCTGAATGAAAGAAAACGGGCTACAAGGAACCCTGAATGCAAGAAAACGGACTACAAGGAACCCTAAATGCAAGAAAACGGGCTACAAAAACCCTGAATGCAAGAAAACGGGTTACAAGGAACCCTGAATGCAAGAAAACGGACTTCAAGGAACCCTGAATGCAAGAAAACGGTCTTAAGGAACCCTGAATGCAAGAAAACGGACTACACAAATTCCGTACAAACTTATTTCCTTATTTAATCTCACAGGATACCGCAAAGGAATTAATCGTTAGGTCTGCATAATGTGGAGATCAATGGTAGATCTCGAAATTCACAACAAAAATCTGACTTCTGAACATTTTAGTGAAATTTTTTTTATGTCAATTTTTAATTAGCCAGATCGTCACCATTTTTTCAATCTGTCAATAAATACAGTTTTGAGGGACTGAAAAAAGCGCTATTCTCAATGGTAACTTTGAAAGAGAAGATAATTGATATCTTATGAGAAGACACACCTTTCAAGGATAAATACCGATGTGAATTGGAGATGTCACTCTTCAAATTGACGGTCAAGATAAATTAAGTGAATAGTCCCTTTAAACTAAAAGATAGATATATCTTTACTCTAATGGTTGAAAGAGTATATAACTGGAGGTTAAAAGGAAAATATAAAGTAAGAAATTGGCTGATTTCCTTTACCGATTTTCCAGTAGATTTCAGGCCAATTTAGACATATAATAGATAGATACATATACGTTACATAGACAGAGAGAAAACATATATTGAGCAAAAATAGAAGAAAAAAGAAATTAGATAACTTTGTTTTACGAAACAGTTTTTTCCTTCATAATTGTTCTTTCCTTCATAATTGTTCTTNACTTTTCCACGATGCATAATTACCGAGTTTGAGTGCATAGTCAAAGTTCAAAATCATGGATTTCGTTGGGCACGTTTTCAAAATTGGTTTTTTTTAAACTATTAAATAATGACGACGAAAAATAAAGTAAAAATTATATCAGTAAATTATAGTTAGATGTTTAGGAACATATTTCGTAAAAATAACTTTGTCAATAAATCAATGTTAGAATCAATTATTTCGTTTTCATCATTACATTGAATTTCTTATTTTCTCTGAATTTGTGAGAAGATTTCTACAAATTCTTCAAATGTCGCCCTTTTATAAAAATTCCAGAAAATCTGCAGAAAATATTTGTGAATAATCAGAGATTATAGAAACTAATGATTGAATAAAATTACTTATTTTCGATGATAAGATTAATTTTTATTTTCTCAACATGTTCCTTAACAACTAATTAGTTTACTGTAGAATTTTGTTTAATTTTTTTGTCGTCGTTATTTAATAATAAAAAACAATCTTGTAAACGTATCCACCCAAAAGTACGATTTTGAACGTAGACTTTACGCTCAAACTCAGGATTCACAGATCTTTAAAAAGTTTCATATTTCTTAAATGAATCCTAAAGAATGTGTCCACAATACTGCGTACTAAGTTCAACAACCTTACATAGCCGGTCTATCCCTTTAAGTTAAAGTTGAAATCTATACAAAGTTACTGTTATAACGTTATGACCTCGTTAACCTTCCAGTTTTGCGTCCAAGTATGAAACAAAACGGAACTGTTAGAAATTCAAAACTTTAATAAGTCTCAAAAACTTTTCAGAAAGAAGGAACTTTGATTAAAAATACGTTAAATTTTAAGGTTAATCCTCAGGAAAGCATCACCCCCCAGGGGATGTGAAAGACAATAGAATTTTGATTTTTCTAAAGTTTGAAAATTCTTGAATAAATTCAGCAAAATCAGCAAAATCAGCAAAATGTCATAAGAATATTTTTTCTTCAAATATTAAACCAAAGAGTTTTACTTAAAACTAAAGGGGCGATTAGGGCTCTATGAATACAAAGTAATTTTTATCACTTGGCTTAATTTTATTCAACGATCAATTATATAGATAGACACCGAACCATGGTGAAATTTGAATATCACCAAATGATGAGGTTTAATTTAACTACCATGAACCCATCTCTCATTGGTTTATTCTCTGAGACTGGACCAATAAGAAATTAGCTAATTATACAAACTCCTCAATTAAAAAAATTAATTATGTAGCTTAAATCAGTCATTTTCAAATGTGTTCAACTTAGATTGAAAAAGATCAGCTTATGTTTTGAGAAAATCTCAATTCAAAAGTTTTCTAGTTTGTTTCCAAAAGTTTAAAAGTTGTCAACTGAAGTTGCAAAAAAACAAAATAAAATACAATTTTTAATTTTCAAAGTTTACTTGTCAATTAGGGAACATTTTTATTCTGCATAAAGTACTTCTACTTGTACTAATGAGGTTGTTTGTTAAATATGAATTTATTCACTAATTTGGTCTGCACCCGTCAAAAAAGTTGTTTTTAACTTCATAGAATGTATTCTATGTGTATATAAAAACTTAAACTAAAACATTTTTTACTAATATTAAAAAAATAAAATATTTTTTTTTCTTCTTCTAAAAAAAATTGAGCACTGTATCAGTTTGGAAAAACCATGCAAATACGGAGGAAGATGGTGGCAAAGGTGCAAAAATATAATTTTCTTAAGGAATTTAATCATAATCATAATCATATTTCATCTTCTAATAAAATACAAAAAAAAAACAAATCTTGAGTTCTATATATCTTATCTTGAGTCAAAAATATAATATTTTGAGTTTAACAGCCACGGACAGCGGTAGTACATTTGAAATTCCGATCCGGGTCAACCTTTTCGGTCCCAGTTTGTACTGTATCGCCCGGATAGTGGGTAAATAAATAAGACACTCAATAGGACTAGCCGGTGCAACAAGGTTGACGCGGTCAGACTTGACCGATTGTTAGAAATCAAATCTTAGATAGAAAGTCGTTCTCGATGTATTGACATGAACGCCGACCATTTTATCTTGATTTCAATATATTTTATCTTGTGATCAATACATATTATCTTGTGTTCAATACATATTATCTTGTTTTTAATATATATTATCTTGTTTTCAATACATATTATCTTGTGTTCAATACATATTATCTTGTGTTTAATATATATTATCTTGTGTTTAATATATATTATCTTGTGTTCAATACATATTATTTTGTGTTTAATACATATTATCTTGTGTTCAATACATATTATCTTGTGTTCAATACATATTATCTTGTGTTCAATACATATTATCTTGTGTTCAATACATATTATCTTGTGATCAATATATCTTATCTTGTGTTCAATACATATTATCTTGTGTTCAATACATATTATCTTGAGTTCAATATATCTTTTCTTGTGTTCAATATATCTTATCTTGAGTTCAATACATATTATCTTGAGTTCAATATATCTTATCTTGTATAAAATATATCTTATCTTGAGTTCAATACATACTATCTTGAGTTCAATATTTCTTATCTTGAGTTCAATATATCTTATCTTGTATAAAATATATCTTATCTTGAGTTCAATACATATTATCTTGAGTTCAATATTTCTTATCTTGAGTTCAATACATATTATTTTGAGTTCAATATATCTTGAGTTTAATATATATCTTGAGGTTCTTATATCTTATCTTGAGTATAAAGACTTGAAAAGAATTCAGAAGGAAAAGCCAAGATTGAGTGGAATAATGAAGCATGGTTGCATTTACATTTTAACGATACAAACTATTAGTGTTGGACTAACTAAAGTTGATCTAAGCATACACGACATTCGCCTTGGGCGAATATATTTCTATTCAACTCTTCTGATCAAATGATTCATTCTAAGTGGTGAGTCTTGGGGAACCATGGGAATAAGATGGCCGACGATCTGTGTTCTTTACTGGCAAGAAAATTGTCGTTTCACTTCTTTCTCCAGCATCGATCTATACCCTATAGTTGCCTTTTAAACCGCTCTTTAAATGGGACCAACTTGATATCTCCAGATGAGAAAGGCCGTTCAATACCCTTTTCCGCCTGCCCTGTTATGTATTTAAGGCTGCAAACATACTCATAACTCAAGGTTCCTTATTCCTTTGGACTAAATCTGGATTGTTTGGCTTTATTCTTATTTCTTAGGTTGCATTTGTTAGACATTATTTCTCCAACTGGTAGCAATGAACTTATACGATACTATGTATACATATGGATTAACCTTGGTTTAGTTCAAAATATATCTTATTTTGAGTTTAATCAATCCTATTCTGTATGTAATATGCATACTCTTGAGTTAAATATATATCTTATTTTGAGTTGAATATATCTCATCTTGAGTTCCTTATATCTCATCTTGAGTTCAATATATCTTATCCTGAGTTCAATATCTTATCCTTATTTCAGTATATCTTATCTTGAGTTTAATATCTTATCCTGAGTTCAATACATCTAATCCAGAGTTCAATATATCTTATCTTGAGTTTAATATACCTGTAATGATATATGCTACCATGATTAGTACGATCTTTATTATCTATGTTTCGTTATCTATTTTATCTATGTTCATGTTGACCCTGACTGGCCATTCCGGTCAGTTCTATTTACCTGTATTAATAAAGTATTAATGTATGAATCGTTGATTTAAACGGACGTGTACAGAGCCTTGAGTTTTGGCTAGAGATATAGAGTCAGAGAGACTGAATTAGACTAAGAGTCAAGTAATCTCGTGACCTAGATTATTACATATCTTTTCATGAGTTTAATATATCTTATTCTGAGTTCAATATATCTTATCCTTAGTTTAATATTTCTTATCTTGAAATCAATATATCTTATTTTGAGTTAATATGTCTTATCTTGAGTTTAATATATCATATTTTGAGTTTAATGTTTAATATGTCTTATTTGTAGTTTTATATATCTTATTTTGAGTTTATTATCTCTTATCTTGTATTCAATATATCATTTCTTGAGTCTAATATATCTTATTTTAAGTTTAATATGTCTTATATTCAGTTTAATATATCTTATTTTGAATGTAATATATATTATCTTAAGTTTAATATATATTATCTTTAGTTTAATATGTCTAATTTTAGTTGAATATATCTAACCCCAAGTTCAATATTTCTTATTTTGAGTTAAATATCTCTTATCTTAATATAATTCAATACATTTCATCTTTAGTTTCATTTATCTTTTCTTGGGTTCAACATATCTTATCTTGAGTTTAATATATCTTATCTTGAGTTCAATAAATCTTATCCTAAGTTCAATATATTCTTGGCACAATATATCTTATCCTGTATAAAATATATCTTATCTTAAGCTCAAAATATCTTATCTTAAGTACAATGTATCTTATCTTGTGTTCAATGTGTCTTATCTTGAGTTAAATATATCTTATCTTGAGTTTAATATATCTTCTTTTGAGTTTAAAATATCTTATCGTGAGTTCAATATATCCTACCTTGAGTTCAATATCTTATCTAAAATTCTTGGAAGATATAATTGTAAATTAAAATCTATGATTACAATGGCCAGGCTGTCTTCTTTGGACTATGTACTGTAATCAGCTTGAGGCAAGGCTATATAACCACATTGAAGTATTTGAGCACACCAAATACAAACCAAATCGAGGAAGTCCCTCTACATGGTAAGCTTGCATGTTCACTTTGTATGAACCCTTAAAGAAAACTGGGAATCTTTTAAAGATCTATAAACAGAATCTAAGACCCCTCCCTCTCAAATTCTCATAGAAATAGGCCATAGATAAATTGTATGGGGTGCAGAACTTTTCAAAACCATCAGTTTTTAACATCAACTATTTTTTGCATCAACAAAAGAATTGTGTAATTTTATTATGTAATGTGTAATTATGTTAGTTAAAGCTTGATTAGCTTTTAAAGCAATTATTATAGAAATACGTTGTCTTTTTCATTAAAGAAGCTGTGCCTGATCTAGAGCTATCCCTCTGTAAGAGCATTAATCTTGAAAACAGCCTGAATTCTTATCAAGGAAAGTAAATCTTCAATTAATGAAATATTGTGTTTTTAATTCAGCGGTAACCAATTCTAAGAGGAAAAATAGTGTTCATCAAATTCTTCTTAATTAAAAATGCTGTTTCACAGTAAATACATCATTCTATGACCAACTCTCAGAGGAAGCCATATTAGGATATATGTTAAAACTATTCTGCTCCAGTGTCCTGTATTTCAAGCAGTTCTAAGGTTTGATCAGAGACTCTGTTAGGTACAGTTATATCAATATGCTCTGTGACAGCAATTTAGTATGAAGTAGTAAATATCCAAAAGCCAATTTTAAGACGTATAACTCCTAAGCTTCCCTGCAAAGTCCAGAAGTTAACTCAAATCCTGAACTGTCTGGCCTAGACAACCGGCAGCACAATATTTAAGCACATCTTTGTATTTAATTCTTGTCTGACTTTTCTGCATAAGATGTTATAATTTCTAACTGTTATCTGAGAACTGATACATAAAGATATGCCTGAACATCAAATGGTACTAAATTGCATAAAGCAGTCTATACTTTATGGCTTAACATACTAATGAAGTTTGCTACAAACCAGATGAAGGTAGAAGACAGTTCAAGGCAAAGGTTTCAGATCTGATAAAACAAATGGATGTGATGGCAGTTGGCAGTAATGTTTGGACCCAGGAATTCAATTATACTGATACCGATGTTAATTTCAGGTTGTGTGTCTAAAGAAACTATCTAATTTCAATCATATAAACGTTTATAGCACATTTGAACAACTAATTTCCCAATGAAGTAGAGCTCTGCCCCGATTTTATGAATATCTAAAAATTTCTGAATAGAAAAGAACTTAGATTTCGATTATTTAAATAACATTAAGAATTTAATGCTGAATTTAAGCCTTTATTGGAGCTATTTCTCTAGTGCAGAGACATGCAAGGTCTTTCAAATAACTGTCTTTTTAAAATCTTTCTAGACATGGTACTAATGGTAGTAGTGTGGTTTCAGCTTATGTAGTACATACATCGATTTTGTTGATTTACTACGTTAATTCAAGGATTTTCCTTCGTAAGAGGGTGAACATAATTTTTTGGAATCCTTATCTTTTTTCTTACACACCTCAAAAGTAACATTTTTTTATTTTTTTCAGAGTCTTGATTTTTTGCTTTTAGCTCAGAGTAGGTTGGGATTGAGAGAAGCTTTTGAGACATTATAAAGATAGTGGATTAAACAATTTAACAAAGAGTATTAAAACTGCTGACAACATGTTAAGAAAAATTATTTTTTAAATTTTTTTATTCATTTTAATAAATAAAGAGAATCAAAATATATAACAGGGTAAATATAGTCCTGGAGAATTGGTTATAAAGGGGTTGTAAAAAAAATTTAATCTAAACAAAAAAACATCTATTTTCTAACACAGTATTTTACATTAAAAAAAATGTGTCAACAATTTTAATACTTGTTTGATAATTGTTATCCTGATATTGATATTTTCTCAGTATATTTAGACCAGGCACAGATTTCTCTCCAACCTTGTACTCTCAAACTATTCTGCTATCCTAATAACCAACTTCAAAAAAAGTTTAATTAAACCCCGCTTTTTTAACATTTTAAAGCATAAAAATCTTATCAATTTTTAGCCTCAATATCTTGCAGAAAAATAAACTTTTTTTTTGACATAAATTCTGACAAGCTAAAAGCAAAAGCTAAAAGCTCAGAAAAAAATTTTACTTTTCAGGCTAGTCAGAATATAAGGATACTTAAAAAATAATGTTCCCCCTCTTAAAAGGGAAAATCATTGAATTAAAGTAGTAAATCAACAAAATCATTGTATGTACTACTCAAGCTGAAACCACCTAAAATACACTAATCATTGTAAAACAATCTTTACATGATGATAACAAAATTCACAAATGAGGTTAAGAACATTATATTAATATACTGAAGACAACTTTTTCATTTAAGTTTAATCGTTTTTTAATTGACATCTTCAGTTTGAACCTTTTTTTGTTTATTCATACTGAGTCTAAAACTAAAGAACAAAAAGTTTTGACTTAAATTTTAAGTTCATGGTTAAATGCCACTTCTGACTTAATTTAAACCTGAACTTTAGCCGTGAGGTTAAATATTTTTGCATGTAAACCCAAAATACGGTTGTAACTCGAAATATGTTTTGCTTTCGGTTACGTAATCAGCTGATTAGCGATGGTTATGTAATATTCTCCGTAAATCCTTTTCTCTGATTGGTTCAGATTAAAATTGAGAAAGTTTAATATTTAAGTAGCTATTCATTATTTTACAGAACTTTTAACCTCAAACTTAAAATTCGCGAATTCTTTAGTTTTAGACTCAGGTTAAAAGCCTGGTATAGACCCAGATTTAAATCAAAAGTTGTCTTCATTATATTTATATAATCGCCTACCACCATACAAATACCTGTATTCAATAAATTCGGTCCAATTGTTACTAAGAATATCTCATTAGGAGAAAACTGTATCCATTTCTTGACAATTTTGTACTGTTATGTCACACTTGGATAAAAAAAATCCCAACTATGTCAAAATTGCGCCTCATTCCTGCCAAAAACCAAGGTAATCAATAAGCAATTAAACTAAATGAAAGATGAAATATAAATGAGTTAAATGTTAAATTAGAATACAATGATATATATTTGCTTGAACTAAGCCTAACTGATGCTACTTCAGATGATGTACTATTGTATGTTTACAAAAGAGGACAATTTCTTAGTCACATGAGAAATGCGCTGACAAATATACCAGACATTGACCATATAGTGGATATTAGCATTAAAATTGAGGTTATCAATCTTATACCTACTCCTCACATGGGATGTGATATTACCCTCAAATCCTTTGATTCTAGTTTAGAAGGCGAAGCATTAAATCAATTAAATAATGATTGCCAAATATCTGACTTCCACAATAAATCTAACAAATTTGAAACATGTGGAACCAATAAAAGCATGGCAAAAGTTTTAGAAAAATATAAAAATAAACAAGAGTTTTGTTTACAGCCTTGTAGCCAGGTTAAAGTAGGTCTAACTCTAAACCCAGTAAACTGGCTCCAGTCCTTGGTAAATTCCAAGGTTCCAGTGATGACAGTTATCCCCGGCTACTATATGACAATTCCCAGAACAGTACTGGTATCTAGAATGCATGACAGTTACACCACCATCTCATTTATTGCTGAACTAGGAGGTTGGGTTGGGCTTTTCTTGGGAGTTTCAGTGTTAGGAGTGTATGATTTTCTAGCTCAAATGTTGCCAAAAACCTGTAGAAACAAGATATGGAATTTCTTAGTTGTAAGCAGCCGGGTGATTTTGAAATTTTCTTGTATCATATGTGCAACATTTATTTTTTGTAAATGTGTAAAAAAGATGTCAAGCAATGAGAAAACTACAAATGTATATATTCAAGAAAAAATTCAGAATATCAGTATATCCTTTTGCTCATTGACAAATGTTTATGCAGTTACACTTCAGGGGCCTCAGACTTATTACATCGCAAATAATTCAGGCTTTTGGCAAGATACAACAAGTTTAAAGGAAAAAATGGAATCGTTAGTTGTTAGACTTTCAGAAAGAGAGACTGTTTCAGTGTACAATTCTTCATTAAACTCTAATTCAAAGTTTTTTCTTTTCTCTGTCAATATACCAAAATATAAAACTTATATCGAATCCTGTCACAGTCTGGATCTGCAAAATTGGAAAAATATTGATTCAATGGAAATTAAATTAAAGAAAGATTTGATTATTTATGTGCATATTACTGGACAGTTTCTAAGACCTGAGAAACAAGGATTTGCATTTATCAATAAAGATACTGTTCGTATATTAAGGTAAGCAAATTTTTAATGTTTTTAGTTCATGGCCTTAAGGCTTTTTTTTTGACAGATTGATTAACAAAATACTATATAGCTTGAAAATTGTATTTTGAAAAACGAAACAATATAATCGTTTTCTTGAAAAACTATAGTTTTTAAGAAATTCCCTTCCCAAAATGCAATATAGAGTAAACCCAGCTGCTTCATTTCTGGCATCTTGAATTTGAAAAATGTAAAAGTAGGACATTCCTATAAGTCTGGATTTATTTGTTATTGGATATGGTAATGATTGATAATTTCTGTTAAAATCTATTCTACGAAGGCAGATTTGTTAATGAAAGGCTGTTGTCAATAATTGTAAGTTCTCTATTATGAAGGATTGTCATTAAGGGTTTGTGAAGGATTGTTTAAAATTTAAAATGACCTACCTTTGTTAAGGAAACAACAAACAAAAACTAAAAAGTGACTCATTTGTTTTTTGATTTAAAAAAAAAATCTTGTTTTTTTTTGGTTTTCTACATTGTTAACAAAATGATCATTCATTTTTCAGAAAAGTGAAAACAATCAATCTGGCCCTACATGTGCCATTTGAACTTAACTCTCATAGGCTAATTTAACCTTTGGTTGCTCTAGTCTTTGATTCATTTAAAATTGTACCCTTGCCAATTTTAGTAACGCCTTTGCTACTAGTAATAGACAAAGTTGTACAATTATGAATTTCCTTGAACCACTATCTTCAAAGTTATAAGCATATTAATACATCCTAAACTGATTTAATCTTTGAGTTCTAAAGCAAAGCTAACCAAGTTTTTGTTAGAAATGAGAAGGAAGGTCTCTTAGAATCAGCAAAGGAAGGTCTTGTAGAATCATCATCATATTCTTTCCAACTAGAAATCATAAAACAAGATCATATCTTTAACGATGGTTACAATGAAGAATATTCATATGATGACTGTATCTTACATCAAATTGTGGAACAAAGCCAGGATAAAAATGTTTTCAAAATTCTTAAACTAGATGAATATCTAAAATCTAGCATACATATGGAGGAGTCTGTGTTTAAAACATTGTCCTCTAAACTAGAACAAGAAGAACTGTATTATAATTGTAAATTGCCTAGTAAAAGATTACACACAATCTTTAGAATGAAAACCAAGAAACTAGACGCTGCAATTTTCAAAATAAATAATCAACAATGTAATAATTCCATGTTGAACATCTCACAGCCTTTTAAAGTTAACATTAAGTTTCCTGGAATATCAGTTGTTAAAGAGGTGAAATTTCAAATTTAGAAATTTTTGAGAGGCAGTGCCTCTTTGGACACGGGTATTTTGTTCCACTAATTACTTTCCTAGACTGTATTTGTACTTCATCAGTAGGTTTCATACAGAAATATATTCAAAAAGCAAAGGAACTTAACATTTTTCAAATTAACACACTTTTATCGAATTAATCAAGATTTTTGTGTTAAAAATTGGTATAACATTTGACAAACATTTAACAAATATATATAGACTGCAATTATTAAAGAATTTTTTGTCTGGTTACTATATTTTGATAATAAGACTAACTATAAAAAAAAACTTTCTTCCTTACAACGAAGCTGTAAATCAATAAATCATGTATTCACTCACATCCTAAAAATCCAAGGAAGTTATACATTGTAGGATATCATTGCACAGTGGATTTTTAAAGCAAAAAAAGACAAAGTTAAGAACTTTTTTCTTAAGACATTTTATTATATCTTGGATGACAGTCAGGCTCAAATATCAAATCAAAATGAGATAATAGCGCAACATTTGTGCAATAAACAGACATTTTTTGTCAGAAAACTTTGCTAAAGTTAATAATGTTGATTATTTAATTAACAAAGATTAATATTTTAAAAATATTGTAAAATCAAGCATTTCTTGATTTAGAAAATTACTTTTTTAATCAAAATCCAAATGAAATGTTTTTTTTAAGTACAACTACAGTCAAGGATTATAACAACCAGAAAAAATGAATAGGCCAAATAGGCACTACGTCTATAATCATTTTAATCAAATATATTTCTCATTTAAAATTAGGTTTACTTAAATATCTTACTTACAGGTGTATTACTCTTATGGAATAATTTCTCTTGTTGCTGAAATAGGTGGTTGGATTGGATTACTTCTTGGATTTAGGTAGTTTTTGTGTCTTATTTCAAAATAAATGTGCAAAACTTTTGTGAATAATGATGAATGATAAAAATTGACTATTTGGCAAAAACCTGAATGTTTTAAATTCTTACAATTAAACTTTATTTAAGCTATCAATTAGCAATACCATGTTTAAAACCTTAATTTACTTAAGTGTTCTTGAACTTGGAAAAATAATCCTCAAGAGATTAGAACATCACAGATTAAAATTGGGAAAATTGGCTCATCTTCTTCTTATACTTGGAATCTCTTTGGCCATGTCCTATCAGATAATGTGTTCAGTTCTAAAATATCTAAGATTTCCGACAGAGAGTAATGTCCAATACAAAGAAGAATCTGCAATCAATTTCTCAATAACATTTTGCTCGATTGTTTGGTTTTCTCCGGAATTAGGTCCAACAAGACTGCTTCAATTAAACTCAATTTATGAACGAGAAGATGAAAAAACACCTTGGGTCAAATTTCACGATGAAGAAACTTCCAACAATACTAACTTGTATATTTGGCAAGCTAGTCCAACCCAACCACTGCAGTGCAGGACAGTTGGCTTTAACCAGGATGTTAAAATTATTCACCGTTTCTCACCGAATACTTTAAACAGAATTATTATTCATGATACACAATTTCTCATGGGTGAGAGTCGACTGGAGCTTAGTGAATCTGCCATGGAGAATAACAATGTTATTCAACTAAGTGCTAAACAGATAGAGTTGATTGAGTCTGAAAAAAACTGCTCTAATTCAATATCCTTTGATTCATGCAGAGAGGATTATATATATGGCCAGTTTAATGCTACCTTTGGATGTATTTTATATAGCAGAAGGCTAGTATATGTTAAACTGTTTAACTTCTGTTGTGTCAATCTTACTGTTCAAAAATGTCTTTGACTCTGAGGTCTATAGAATGATCTGAAGATCTTTGTCAAAATGATTTAGAATTTCAAGTGGATAAATAATTTCTTAATCTGAAATTCAACACCTTATTGAAGAATCATGTGTTCTAATGTAAACTATAAGATCAAATTATTAGGTCAGATTATCAACAGTGCAACACTACAAGCTCTAAATTTCCATCTCAAAAAGTTGATTCAGGATTTAACACACCAGGACAAAATCCTCTTAATATCAATTGATTTTTTACTAAAAATACATCTAATAGTAACAAGGTTGCAATTAAACGTATAACACTGCAGTTTTTATAACAGATACCAAAAATAAAAAATATTTTGAGCTTTTACAGGCAACTGCCCTAAGATTAGCATTTGAATTTGTCTTACAAAATATATTTAGTTCAACTCATAAATTCAACATATTTTTGATTCCTTCTAAAAAATAAACCATTAATTATAAAGATTTTATCCGGAGAAGGGGTATTGCAGGAAAATCAAACGCATAAAGAAAGATTTCTTGAATTATCCACAAGTTTCCATCATGAACCATCCACCTGCCCCCTCCCATGCAAAATAAGCATATTTGACTATAAACTTCTACAAACAATAAAATTGGTATGTCATTTCTTTTCTTAAAGTGAAATTTCTTCTGATAAGATTTGTTTAAATTATGTTCTGACATTATAAAATCAACGAAGGAGGTTAACTTAAATATGTTTCCTGATGCTCAAGTTAGTGTTAGTACTAAGGGAGGTTATTCCATGTACAATTCTTAATTAAAGGTTCATTAATGGTCTTTTTAAAAAGTACTATGGGTGAACAAGTGTTTGCTGGAATAATCAAAACCAAAATTTTCGTGCTCTCATGCAAATGTCTAACCTTGCCAATTACCCCTTTTTCACTTAAGCTAGTTTTAAAGTGTAATTGTCCAAGACTACACTGACATAAGTATGAGTGAGTTTTATGAGGTAAAACCAAAGAGAGGTCAGAGTGTTGCGATGTTTCAAAGTCAAAGGGGTTTTAAAATTTCATGCATAACTCTCATAATACAATAATACTTCTCTTTTTTAGAACACTTCGAGTGAAGAGAAGTACTTAATAATCAAGAAACCTCGAACTGTCCAGCATCTGAAGAGTGAATACATCTATACAATCTGGGAGTTTGCTGCAGAGTTTGGAGGATGGATCGGAGTTCTTTGTGGGTTTTCTGCACTAGACATTGTCAATGTTTTTATAAGCATGGTTTTAATTATAGTTAAGTTCTGTAAGGAACAACTTACTCACTGTATTTATTAAAATGCGTATAAGAAAAAATATATGTGAGAAAATTTTCAAACATACTTCTGTTTTTAAAGAAAATCTAGAAAGATTTCAGATTTACCTTCACATAAACCGTTTTTTCCAGCCTTGGTTAGTGAATAGGGATAATTTGCAGTTCACATAAATTCATCGGAATAATAGCTTTACCCAGGAAATTTATTTAAATTTCTTCCTGCTGCGCGCTTCTGGGCCCGGAAAATGTATTGAGAAACCAAAATGAAAGCTTATACATTCACAGAACCTCTCGCCAAAATCTAAGAAAGATTTCTAAATATGGAATGGAAACAAAACATAATTCCTTTCTGGATAATTTTTCCAGTTGATTATTTACCGTAGTTTTTTTTCCGGAGACCTTTCTCTGAAACTATGCCATGGTTAAATTTTTCTATCTTGCCGCCTGTTGTTTACA